GCGACAACTTTCACACCAAGGTTCAACTCGGGTTCAACTCGAGTGACAGGACTGTACCCAAAAAAGGTCAAACAGGCTAGTAAGTTGTACCCTGCAGGCACGGTGACCAGCTGACTGGTGTACGCAGGAGCACGTGACCGCTTGTTCAACCATGTTCGATTGGGAATAAAGGAGGAACGCTGCATCGCAGCCTTTTCGGACCAAAACCAGTCGACTCAGCGTCCAAAAGACTACAACATATGGGCCAATCGCGGTGATCCGTGCTTTTATAAGAACGAAATGGCGCTTTTAGTGACATTTTGCATACAAATCCCCATCTAGTAGGGCGCAGTCACCCAGTTTTGGTGGAAGTGCGCGAGTTCGATTGGGATTCAAGTAGGAAGGGAGCGTCGCAGCTTCCTCGGACCAAGACCATTCGACTCAGCACCCAGAAGACTACAACTGGTGAAAATTTGATTTTTGGGTATACTTCCCCTTTAAAAGAGCCGTTCAGGCGCTGCATCTGCGCCTTTGATCCTAGAGGGCGGTGGCGTTCCCACGACGGATGCGGAAAACTGGGCTTCCAGCCGAGTCTCACGCGAAATGTTGGGTTAGCTTTTGGGCTAACCCTAGTTAGCGATAAGACCGATGCGCTGCTCTCTATCTCATGCTAGCTGCGATCGAGCTGGCTTTACACGTGCACTCAACTGCTGCGCATGCGCGCCCAAATCGCCTTGGGTAGCTCTTGCTGCGCTGATTTTGGCTTGCGCTTTCCTTTGCAGTGTCACTGAGCAGCAACCGGAATTTGTTTGTTGAGAATAGAATTAATTATTCAGACTCCTTGTAGATTCCTCGCAGCCGCTTACTGCACGACAAACATGTTGTCTACCTCTGAAGCACGCCGTATGAACGTGTCGGACTTGCGGGTCGAGCTGGAAGGCCGTGGGCTGAATTCGAGCGGAACAAAGCCCCAGCTTCTTGCCCGTTTGCTGCTCAGTATCCAGGACACGTCGAGCTCGGCGGCACGGGAACCTCGATCTCCGTCGGTCACGCCATCCTCGCGGCAGGAGCACGAGCAGGAGCAAGAGCAGGATCTGGAGAGTGCTGCAGCAGCTTCTCCGACTCCCCAGATCCCGGACCGGAGCAGTAATGACGATTTGCGCCAGTTTGTGCGGCAGGAAGTACATTCCGCCGTCACCGTTGCCTTGTCGGAGGCGATCGCTCCAATGCTGGCCACCATCACTGCCCCTGGATCCGCTGGAACTCAACCTTCGGCGGAGTCTTCCAACGCTGGTAATCTCTCCGTTCCCCAGACTATACGAGAGAAAATATTGAAGGGTGACTTTGTAGATTTCACCCAGCTGCTGCCCGATACTATCGCCACCTCGTATTCTGCCCCACGCCAGCTTCAGCTGCAGTTCAGCAGTGGCGGCCAGTCTCTGGAGGTGGTGGAAGGTGGAGCGGCGCAGCCCGTTCGTCGACGCGTCCACGACTTGCCGACATGGCTGGAGGCATGGACTCTCTTCATGAACGTCGTGTGTTCTGCCAACCCGTCCCGCCTGCAGGAGATGCTCTCCTACCAAGCCACCATAGTTGCAGCCAACAGGCAATACTATCCGGAGGCTTGGCTGTCGTACGACACCCAGTTTCGCTCTGCCATTTCTGCTCAGCCAGGCAAGCGCTTTGACGTCATCGACATAAATCTGTGGCAAATGTCCGTGACTAGCCGATCAAGGCCCACATGTGAGTCCTGCCGCCTCATCCATCCCGGAGGCGGCCAGTGTCCCTTTCGTCCGCAACGTAACAACCAGCAAGCCTTCAATGGAGTCCGTACGGTGTCTAATGGCCAACCGATCTGCCGGAACTTCAACGCTGGGCGTTGCAGTCTCAGCACGTGCAAGTACGCCCATGTCTGCAACCGCTGCGGGTCCAAGGACCACAACGGATCTAAGTGCGGTAGGCGCCAGTAACTCTGCTGCTTTGGCTGCAGCTCCCGCGATTGTACATATTTCTCCCTGCACTTCACGTTCTACTGATTTCACAAGCGCATGTCCTGCTGTCCACACACCCCTCTCTGTTTCTCGCTTCGAATCACTGCTCCGTAACCACCCTGACAGTTCATTGGCTTCGTATGTTATTAACGGCCTCCGCTGCGGCTTTGACATTGGCTTTACCGGCAACCGCATAACTAACCAGCACTCGTCCAACCTCTCATCAGCATTCCAGCACTCTGCATTTGTGCCTGCACAGCTCACCGCTTCCTGCAACGCCGGCTACACGGCTGGCCCATTTGACTCGCCCCCATTCCCATTTATGTACTGCTCTGGCATTGGCGCTGTTCTACGCTTGATACACCACCTGTCCAGCCCTGCCGGCTCCAGCGTTAACAACGGGATCCCTGCCGAGCCTTTCTCTTTGCAGTACATCAGCATTGATGAAGCCATTAACATCATTATGTCCTCCCCGTCTCCTGTCTATCTCTCTAAACTCGATGTGAAGAGTGCTTTTCGTCAAATACCTGTCCGCCCACAGGATTGGCATCTCCTCGGCATCCTGTGGCAGGGGAAGTACTACTACGACCGTGTCTTGCCATTTGGGCTCCGCTCTAGCCCGGCGGAATTTGATGCAGTGGCAGCGACCATCGAATGGATAATGCACCACGAATTCTCCATCCCTAATTTGCTGCATTTTCTGGACGACTACTTGTGCGTGAGCGTGGGCCAGGCAGTGGCGAATCGGCAGCTGGCCATTCTTCTCCGTGCATTCTCATACCTCGGAGTCCCGCTCGCGCCTGCAAAGGTGGAAGGCCCGTCTCGTACCCTGACATTCCTGGGCATTATCCTGGATTGTGAGAAGATGGAAGCCCGGCTCCCTGACGACAAATTGGCCGACATCAAGCGCCTGTTGACTGCAGCGAGCATCAACCCCACCATGTCTCAGCGCGAACTCGAATCTCTTCTGGGGAAACTCTCCTTCGCTGCAAGAGTCATCGTACCCGGCCGGACATTTATGCGGCACCTGTGGTCTATTTGCAGTCGCTACCAGCAGCCTCACTACCGCATCAGTCTGACTACCGAGTGCCAGGAGGATATCCAATGGTGGCTACGGCTCCTGGAACAATGGAACGGAAAATCATTCTTCCTGTTCCCAGATTGGACACCATCTCCAGACTTGGAGCTGTTCACCGATGCCAGTGGCACCCTGGGCTGGGGCGCATTCAACAGCGGCCGCTGGCTTCAAGGGACCTGGTCGCCTGAGCAACTCACTCACAGCATTGAGTGGAAGGAGCTCTACGCGTTGGTCACAGCGTGCTGCACGTGGGCCAAGGAATGGCGCCAGCTTCGTATCACAATGCACTGCGACAACAAGGCTGTGGTAGATTGCATCCGCTCCGGCACATCCAAGTCACCGCCAGTGATGACCCTGATCAGGGAGCTGTTCTTTGTGTGCGCCCGCTTCAATTTCACCGTCACTGCTGCTCACATTGCTGGCCAGTCTAACTGCATTGCCGATTCGCTGTCTCGTTTCCGCATGGAGGAATTCCGACGTCTCGCCCCAGCTGCTCAAGCACAACCAGACCGAGCAGTGCTGCCATTCCAGTCGATGTAATATAGCCTTGACATACAGGTACCGATTGTCATTGCTAAATTGCCGTATTGAGAACCTGCGTTGGATTTCATCCATCTGCATGCCTACCTTTATCCATCTCGTGCCTTAATCACTTGTTCTTAGCTCTCGTGCATTGGTGGTGAACGCTTGCTGGGGTGCCGTGTGCTGGTTTTCTGGGAACAGCTTCCTTCAACTGGTTGCTTTGCTGCTACTATCTCTGCTTAAAATTGCATACTATTGGTCGGCTGTTTGCGACGCCAATCAGTAGTCATTGCACCCGGTCGCGGGTACTATTGCCGCTCAAGCATGAGCGATTGCTTTGGCCGTTTGCAACGCCAACTGCTTCACCCTGGTTGGCTGTTTGCAACGTCGATCAGGGAACTTTGCACCCGGTCGCGGGTACTGCTGCAGCTCAGTCGTGAGCGATCACTTTGGCTGTTTGCAACGCCAATCGCTTCACCAGTTGATCGAAACCAGCACACTGGTGTACCCCAATCATCCTTGTGCGGTGTTGTGAGAATACGTGGGTATGCATGCAGCTTTGCTCTGTGACTTTCCATTGCATGTAGTCACTTGGCTCTCCCATTTCCTATACACTGCTCTGATGCATTCGGGTGCAAGCGCTAACCGTGAAATTTATTTTTTTATTTTTGGGAAAGGGCTACTAGGGAATCATTTAACGGGAATGCCCGAAAACTGGTTCATGAATTTCGGGCTCCTTATTGAGGATGACGGTGATGAAAAGCTTGAGATTTGTAGTTTTTATTTCCCAGTATGGAGAAAGGGAAGCAAATACAAAACGTCGTTTGTACGGCTGATGAAGAAGTGCCCGCCTGTTATTTTACGAAAATTGATGAAACATTTTCAGAAACCAAGCTCATCAGCACCGCACCCACGATGGTCTTGCAACGCAATGCAGTCACAGAGGGTGATATCGGCCCTGGTCATATCGATTTAAAAGTTGATTGATCAGCTGCAGGGAATCTTCCGAATGCTGAACAAGGTCTCATGAAACTGCAAGGAGAACCTGAGACTGTCTACTCAGTTCTTGCGGTGATGAGCTATGCATGAACTGCGGTGCATCCAGACTCAAGAAGAGGTGCAAGCAGTAGTACATGTAGTTCAAAGTACGAGCTATGTGTAAAGAGAAAAGGACATACAAGCTACTGGTTATGAGTAACAGTTCACCAAATTGGAAGGTCGTTGGTGGGTTGGAACTAGGTGTCAGGTCATCGAATGTCTCAATATCCTTGTCAGTTTTGGTCCTTGTTGTCGCACTATCTGACTGCATATCATTATCTCGTTACCTTGGTGGACTGTTAGTCATAACTAGTACTTCAAACTGATACGTATAGGTCCTTTTCTCTTTCCGAACTACTACATGTATTGGCTCAATATCCGAGTTTTTGAGCTATGTTAAAATAATTTTTTAAACAGTATGCACTGTAACATAAAAGATAAAAATAATAATAATCATAAAAAACTGAGTGTGTATAACAACAATACACAAACTGGTCGGAGTATGCAGTCGGAAATGATGATTATGACAAATCGCAGCACGCACGCAGGCGACTTGGTAGAGTATGGCCAAAACAACCCGCCCACATGGTTAGGAATTCGTATGAATGGAGGGCAGGCCTTCCAATTATTCTATGCCAGGAAGGCAGGGTGAGCTGATCGATGCTGGAAAAAGCGTAGTATTTTAAGGGTAAGTTCGGCACTGGAGAATGTTTACTTATTACTATGCAAGACCGCAGAATGCAGTCACACAGTGCTAAAGGTAAGTTGGGTGCTGGAAAAAGCGTTCTGTACGAAACCATAGTCTCAGAATGTTGAAGGTGCGTCCAGTCCTAGAAAAAGCGTGCTATACAAAGCCGTGGGATGCAGTTGCAGAGTTGTTCAGGTACTAGTTGCAGATAGCAATCTATACAATAGCTAGGGCACAGCAAAGCACACAAAGGCATAGCAACGGCCAGAGACATTCTGCTGTTTATGTTATGTTGGTCGTCGTTGCATTTTTGCAATTGGGAAAAGTGCATTTCCCGGTGAGAAACTAATTGCTGGCAGATTTTCTTGACCGTAACTAAATTTACATGCACTGCGCACCAGGAATGCGCAGTAATTATGGAAACACATTGAAGGACATGATGTGGAATCAAATGAGAGTCATGGGGTCCTCGGCTTCGGTTTCCTCAAGCTCAATGGTGGCCTCGAGCAGCTGCGCATCGCTACCCATCTGATCCAGGTCCTCGACAGACGGCTCGTTGAACTCGTTTCTTCCGTACGGGGGATGATTGTCGTCGTCATCCTCACTCTCGCTTGTGTAGAACATGTCCATCTTGATTTCCTGCAAGTCACGTGCAACATTAAGGGGCAAACAAAAGAATGCCTCAGTAAAGTGGGGAACAGTGTCGCCTTATATAATCAAAGACCAGTGTCAAATCGGATCGGCAGTGAAACTGCAAGATCCTGAATGGGAGCAAACAACTTCCTTGTATCATCAAAACATTCAAAAAGCAAAGCAGTGGACTCCCAGCTAGATGTGTGTTAAGGCATGTTGCACATAATTGCGGACGTGTACTGTTAATCCTGCCTATTCTTACCTGAGATTCATAGAGTGGGTTGTCTCGCATGTCCATCGATACGGCGCTCGGTCCAGTCTCCTCGTACTCCTCGATGGTTGTGACCGGATTGCTGAACCTGTGCATGTGTGGGTGTGTATATGTGTGAGTATGTGTGTGTGCGTGCAGGTGCATGTACAGGTGTGTACGTGTGTATGTGTGTGTGTGTAGGCAGGAAATAGACAACAGAGAACAATGGCCATCAGATGCATGGCAGCATCTTGAAATCCCTAAGACCGTCTAACGAAATACGTTAAAGGGGAAGTTAAGGCAAAAATTAAAATTTCACCAGTTGTAGTCTTCGGGGTGCTGAGTCGAATGGTCTTGGTCCGAGGAAGCTGAGGCGCTCCCTTCCTACTTGAATCCCAATCGAACTCGCGCACTTCCACCGACACTGGGTGACTGCGCCCTACTAGATGGGGATTTGTATGCAAAATGTCACTAAAAGCGCCATTTCGTTCTTATAAAAGAACGGATGACCGCGATTGGCCCATATGTTGTAGTCTTTTGGACGCTGAGTCGACTGGTTTTGGTCCGAAAAGGCTGCGATGCAGCTTTCCTCCTTTATTCCCAATCGAACATGGTTGAACAAGCGGTCACGTGCTCCTGCGTACACCAGTCACCTGGTCACCGTGCCTGCAGGGTACAACTTACTAGCGTGTTTGACCTTTTTTGGGTGCAGTCCTGTCACTCGAGTTGAACTCGAGTTGAACCTTGGTGTGAAAGTTGTCGCCTGCTGGCGTGGTGACCAGGTGATTTGGGCACCCAGGAGCACGTGACCACTTGTTCAACCATGTTCGATTGGGAATAAAGGAGGAACGCTGCATCGCAGCCTTTTCGGACCAAAACCAGTCGACTCAGCGTCCAAAAGACTACAACATATGGGCCAATGGCGGTCATCCGTGCTTTTATAAGAACGAAATGGCGCTTTTAGTGACATTTTGCATACAAATCCCCATCTAGTAGGGCGCAGTCAACCAGTTTCGGTGGAAGTGCGCGAGTTCGATTGGGATTCAAGTAGGAAGGGAGCGTCTCAGCTTTCTCGGACCAAGACCATTCGACTCAGCACCCCAAAGACTACAACTGGTGAAATTTTAATTTTTGCCTTAACTTCCCCTTTAATGCTGAAGAATGTTTTTTTTAAAGATATAATATGAATCCATCCGCTTCCGTTGAAAGATGAGCTCTGTAAGTGCTAGGAATGGGATGCTGTTAGTCATACAAGCGGACGGATGTATATGTACACCCAAGCACTAAGCACAACTGCTCATAGGCTCCACAATTGACAATTTGCAGACATATGCACCTCTCTCAGCCAAATTCCTAAGTTCAGAAACATCAAATGGTGCATGCAATCAGAGTTATTCAAAAGATCTGTTAAATATATTCATCAGTTGTATGATGTAGTAGGTTACAATAGGCTTGCTTGCATGGCTTGTGTAGAATGCAAACTCGATATCACAGTGCTGCTCCAAACAATCCAGTTGAGTCACTCAAGTTTGCACCTTCCATCATTTTGCAGCCCAGTGTTAGCAGGTCTGGGGCTGGGAAACGCTCAGCGCGTACTTGATTGACGCGACTGGATTCCATTGAGCACTGCTGTACTTAGCTCAGAAGCCGCACAGAACTCGGCTATTTGAAAATAATTGGAAACTGTCCACCTCTCGACTCTGCGCTCTTGGCCCGCAGTCAAGAACAAACTTCTTTGCCATAGTGTGGTGAATGTGGGCCAGGAGCGCGGTCCGCAGAGGTGGACAGTTTCAGTAGTGTACTTGACTGCTCACGATTGTGAGGTGAATCAGCACTTACGCGTATCTTCCACCGCCGCGCTGCTCTCCCTCGGATTCATAGGTAGTCCTGACGGTGACCTCTTCCTCCTCGTCGTCCATGCCGTGTTGGCCGCGGTGTGCGTTTCCACGTGCCTCTCCACCATCCTCCCACAATGCATTGGGCTGTACCCAGATCGGGTTCATCTGGAAGTCAGATCTAGAAACAGGGAACGAGGAGAAAAGCAGATTGAAACAAATACTCACACGCACACCTTACCATACACCATACTCATGCCCGTCGCTGAACCAATGATAGTGAGCAAGTTATGGTGGACATACCAACTTGTGCACACACACACACACACGCTCGCGCGCACATTCACACACGCACCTACACACTCACACATATGAAAAGATACATTTCCACAGACTAAGAGGCAAGTAGATGCAGAGTTACACATACACAGACATGCAACTATGAAGCAGGAGCTCAATTCTCCAATTGGTAACACATCGGGAAAGGTCCAGCTCGACCATCCATAAGGTACAACAGTAGGCAACCGAACAACACTGAAGAACAATATGGTAAAAACGTGAAGATTGGGCAGTATCAAGTCTGGCGTCTACTGTGTGGTTCGGCTACCTAATGTGGTACAAGACAGACGGACAGACAGACGGACAGACAGACAGACGGACAGACAGACAATTCGGACATCTTGATATCTGAACGATGACGCACCAGCACAGGTCCAACAAAGCGATAGCCGGACCTCGCAGTAACAACAACAGAATGCAAACATGCCAGTCTTTGGCTTGCACGAGCGCTTTAGAGTTGCTTCTTCCTACTTACGAAGTCTTCTTCTTCTTCTTCTTTTTCGCCTGTGCCATGTCGATGAGTTCTCTCTGATCGCCCATGGATACATCATCGTTCTGGTACTGCTCTGTTAGTACAATGGAAAGTAAACACATAAGAGAGGTTAATATGCACGTTATTTATGATGTTACGTGAAAGTTCAGCTCTCGTTTTTGGTTCCCTAGTCACAGTGCATATTGAATGTGAGATCGTCCGCGCCTGGCAATGTGGTCTGTAGTACCAGGCTAATCGCTAGTCACGGTGGTCTTTATTTAGTGCAGGGTTTACTGTACATGCATGGCATTTGTACATGCCACTCTGCAGTTCTTACCAACGCTGGTCATCGATGCGGGCGGTGTGGCAAAGAAGTTGCTCTCCCACAGAAGTTGCTGGTGGCGCTGGCGAATCTTTCTCCTGAAAACAGAAGAAAATGAATTCGTGATAAATGAAGCAGTCTTATTCCTTGCAAGCATTCTTCCTGCCAGGAAATGATCCTACATCAATACACATAAAGAGCGATGTCAGATATCGCCATAATATCACCACTGCTAGCAGAATACGAAATTTGTAGTAATCGTCGTTTTTTTTTTCAATCCTTGACTATGCATCCTATGCTTTCCAATATACTCAGAAAGGAAAAGTTACCTCTTTCTCAGACAGCAGATGGCGATCAGAATAAGCAGAAGTACAATGAAGAGAATGCAGGCGATAGTGATCAGGGCCACAAAGTAGCTCTTTTGCAGGATAGACGCTTCGGCTTCGTCCCCTGGCGGACTGTCACCTCCAGAGCCATGACCAGGCTCCTATCACAGAAATAGAGAAAGGCAACAGAAAGAGAGAGAGATAGATTGATTGAGAGAGAGAGATAGAGAGGAAGAGAGAGAGAGATAGATAGATAGATTGAGAGATAGATAGATAGATAGATAGATAGATAGATAGATAGATAGATAGATAGATAGATAGATAGATAGATAGATAGATAGATAGAGAGATAGAGAGAGAGATAGGATGGAGAGGAATTCAGTGAGAGGGAAGAACATGCGGATAAAAAGAGAGAAAAAGGAGTGAGAGAGAGAGAGATTGGGAGATATAGTATAGAGAGAGTATCAGTGAGAGGGATAAACAGACAGAGAAAAAGAGAGAAAATGGGGAGAGAGAGAGAGAGAGAG